TGTCGGAAACTGAAGCAAAATTGTCCACGTGTTGCCTCGCGGAGCGGAACCAGTGGAGGCGATCACCTTGCTGAAGCGCACGCGCGTTTCTGAGTTTCTGAGTCTTCGCGGAGTGTCCGCCGCACGGGGCCGCACGTGCTTCTTGCCTTTTGGGAAGACTTGTTCACTGATGGCTGGTCAAGTCATCGTGGCCTTGGTTCCAGCTCTGCCAGTGTTGTTTTTTCTGTTTTTGCTGACGACAATTCTCTGTTTAAAATAGTAATGGGAGGAGGCAGTTGCTCATCAGATGATTGGTGTTGATTTTTGCAGAGGGCTCTGGGCAGAACAGGCACTTAAACAAATAAACAAACAACTTAGTTTACTCTGCAGAGAACACTATTAACAGTGGATTATATTGTTTCTTTGAGCTTATTGATGTTTTTAATAAGGAGGAAAGGCTACATAAAACTATGAATTTCCATGGATCCAGCTACGCCTTTTTGCAGTGCAGTATTTTGCATGCTTAATGGAATATTGGATCCTATTCAAATCTTTAAAAACTGTCTTAATTTTATGTAGTGTGAAATCTTACTCAGAATACATGACAGATAGACTTTACAGTGTCGTTCTGTCAGAACACGACCCTTCACTGCTTGCACTTCTCATCCTCTCCTGACCTCTGCTGGCGAGGTCCAGGCATGCGTGACTTGGGTCAGCTTTATCCCCAGGCACACATCCTAATAGTCAAAAACATCTGAACACTTGAACTTCAGTGAAGTTCTAAGGTTTCTTATTCTAGAAGAGAAGGCTGTTTAGTATCCATCCTGCATTGTATATGTTTAGCCTTTACAGTCTGGGTTGTTAATCGTGTTGGTGGGGGAGGACCGTTGGACCCACTGCTGGGCAAGTTCATACGATGTGGGCACTGCAGCCGTTCGTAAGTGCTTACTCTTCAGCTGGTCCTGCAGAGGGTTGAAGTGTGGTCTCAGATCACAAGAGGCAACAAGGACGACACCATTTTTGATCCTGACACCCTCCTTGCCCCAGTAGGAGGGCCAGTCCTGAGCTGGAGGAAATACCAATTTTAGACAGTCAGGAATCAGATCATAAACTTCAGAAGTTTAGTCCTTTCCTGAAAACAGCTCCTGTGGGGAATGAAATACACAACAATGTACTGTTTTTGTCGTCAGTGGAGGTAATGGGGAGAGAGCAGAGGGAATGCTGGGCAGAGAGTAAACCTCTGCATCGTTCTCCTTTTGATACATGTTGTTCTCACATTCTCAGGGGAACAGAATCTTCTTGCACTGGGGTCCTGCTGTATGATTTTTAAAATTGCAATAATGAACATGTCTAGTACCCAGTCCTTAGCTTTTGAATACCATTCCCCATTAAAGAGAACCACTGTTTCTCAAAGGAATGTCTGATCTAAGTCAAAAGTGAGTCTGAATTATTTTGTGCCAGATCGGGCATGTCTAAAGGATCTATTTGAAAGGGGGAAGTCTCCAAATATGAGGCAGTCCAGCCAAATTTGGGGCAATTTGAGCTTCAAAAAGAATGATGATAATAATAATAGATTATAAGACACTGAACGAAATAGGCCTTTATACCATAGTGACAATTAAAAATGAGGAACTCAAAAGAAAAAACTTAATAGAAAAATATCAGTTAATAATATAGAAAGAATCATAGAAAAAAACCCATCACACCATTTTACTACTGTCAGATCAGACAAATAGTTCAAGGTGGCCAGATCATAAAAGTAACAGGAAGTGAAACTGGAAGGTGAGTTTGGGCCATATTATAAAGGGTTATCCATTTAGAGATTAGAACTTTATTTGTAGGTAACATGTAGCCATTGAAAGATTTTACCCTGGGACCCATTTAGAAAGCCATAGCAGCGTGGAGGTTGGATTGAAGACAGGCGGGCTCCCTGTGAGGAGTTACTGCCTTCATCTAGGGATTAGGGTTGCTGAAGCAGGAGACATGGATGGAAGCAGCAGAGTGTCGAATGGGCGTGGGAGGAAGATAAAGGAAGACAAAACAACCTCAGGTTCTCCGTTGGTTGGCTTGGCGGGTGTGGTGCTGTTAATTCACATTAGGGAAGGGAAAGTCAGAACCACATGTGTAGGGAAGTCGTCTTGGGTGTGTTGTGCTGGAAGCTGTCTGCTGAACTTCTCCATCGAGACTAACTTGCTGTTACATTCTAGTTTGTCTTGGTGTTACTGATTCCATAGAAGATGGTGTTCCTTATCCCATTTTTCTAGAGTGCTTTAGTTCACATTTGTCACATGTGTTTTCAGTTACTTCTTCAGAATGCATTCTGGAATAGTTAAGCTGTAACATGTTTGGTGTTAAAGTATATTTTACCCATTTATTATAGATGCATGGGTGGGGAAAAAAGACATTTACGTACGTTCATGTCTGGTGTAGTTGATCTGGCAGCATTATAGCGTTAACACTTAAACCTTATGGAACTACTGATGTGGAATTTTAAAATCCTATAGCCTGAGAGCTTTTCCCAAGGTGTATCTTTTTTTCTCTTTTTTAAAATTCGCTGTAGGGGAAAGAAAAGAATACTTAATGATTCTTAAAATCATTCGTGTTTTTTGTCCTTGCACATGAGAATGTGTAGCATTTAAAATAACTCTCCCTGTATATGAAAAGCATTAGAAGTAGAAAAAAAAAGTGCCTTAAGACAAAATAGCTACTTCTTAAAGTGATTCATTGATGATTTAATAGTCATAGACATGAAAGACTGCTGCATCTCAGCAGGGTTTTTCCCGGCACAGTGTATGTTACTGTACTCCGGGGTTGGCTTGAATTCTTTGGTGTTTTCCGGTTGGTGGAGAGAGGGATTACACTTTGAAGAAGTCGGAGGAGGAAGTGCAGACGAACAGGAAAGTACCAAATGGCATCCTGGATCAGTCTTAACTTTTCACAGCTTGGCCTTCTCTACAGTCACATTTAACAGAAACATTAATTAGATTTCAGTGCCCCACTGAGTTTTAAAATTAAACAGATTTCTGAAACCATCTGTAGCATTTTATCACTTAATATAATGAAGAATATGCTTAACCTTTTGAAAAATGAGAATCATGACAGAATATCTTTTGCTCACAGGTGATCATCTTTGGTTAAGAAAAACCCATCAAAGTTTTTAGAAAGAGTTAACAAGTAATTCAAGAGTTTGAAGAAGACGCCAAAATAAAATTCTATGAAAACATTCTTGGTGGGAATCTTTTCCTAAATTCAGGGTTTTCTTTGGGATTTTAGTGTTTCCTTTGAATCTGAAGCTGGTGGTGGCGGGCCGGTGCTGTCTGTCTGTCTGTCTGTCTGTCTGAAGCTGGGCTGAAGACGGTCAGCGAGGAGCCGCCTTTCACCCGGGAGCTGCGGTCCCAGGACCGAAGCAGGGGCGCGGTGGAAACAGCATAGGAGCTGGTGCAGGTTCTGGAGTCTAGCTGGCTGGCCTTGAACTTAGGAGAAGGGGTTCTCGGATAAGTTGATTAACCCTGTGTGCCTCTGTTTCCTTGTCTGTAGAGTGGGGGAGACTATACCGACCTCATAGGGGTGTAAGGAGCGTACATTTTTGAGCACAAAATGTATCTTCAGAACGATTTTCTTTGTTGTGTAGTCTTCCATTTCCTTGCTTTTTAGATACACTTACTACACTTACAGAGGCCTTCAGAAAAGGAAATGCTGGGGCCGAGGAGAATTACCAAAATAGCAGAATCTCCGCTCGCTCATAGGAAGGCGTTCTGTCGGCTTTGTGCCGGGGAACAGGTGGGGGTTAGGTGTGTGCTCCGCCCACACCGTCCCTGGTGTGGGGGGCAGCGGACATCTCGGCGTCGTGGGAGCAGGTGGGCGTGGCAGCGGGGGCGGCCCTGCGGGCCCAGGAGGGGACAGACGGACTCGCCTGGGCCCGGGCGGAGGGATCACCCAGACTTCTCCACTGAAGAGGGTGTTTTTTCCTGCCTGAGAGGACGGGGTGCAGATGTGCTTTTGAGGCTAGCTGGGCTCCCAAAGTACAGGAACAGAGGGCTGTTTTTGGCCAGTTCTTTTCGAAATTTACAAATCAGGTAAGTCACTCTGCTGCCTTAGGAGTGAGTAAGAGATGAGAGAGAGGGCCCATGCTGTTTCTTTAGCCCCTGCGGTGCTGAGCTGGCTGAGCAATATGCCTGTCCCTGCTTCTCGGGGTGCTCCTTCCAGGTCAGAGCCCTCATCATCGTCCAGGTCTTCGCTCAGGCCCGTCTGACTGCCCTGGGTGGGATTGACTGCTCCCTCCGCCAGCACTGGGGTCACCATCTCCGCCTCTCGGCCGCAGCACCGGCCACAGCACTGTATGCTCCGTCAGGTGCCCTTAGCAGATGGGGAGTTTTCTTTTGGGCAGCAACTGTTGCTTATTTTTGTACAACTTTTCACTAGCATGGTGCTACTTATATAATAATCTCTCCACAAATAAATACCCAGTTCTCCTTTATAAAAACCACCTTTGTCACTGAAAACATTAAGATGCCAGAATTTAGTAAAATGTGAAAGAAGAGAATGGAATTTTGAAGTTGTGTTTTTGTTGTTTCATAAAAATACTTTAAAATACTAAAAAATTTCCTTTTGGCTTAAATTTGTAGAATACACAGGGTTTTCAGAGATTAATTTTTAAATGTTAGAAAATACAGGATTCCTTTTTCTTTGCCTACCCCAGTGGAACATCTGTATGTCTTAACTTTAAGGAATAATGTTGATGCAAATGTAATCAATTATCCAACTTTTTTAAAATGTTAGGGTATTTGCTGTCTAATATAGCATAACTTTTTTAGTAGTCCGTTTTTCAACAGCATTTTGACCTTTTTTTTTTTTTTTGGTAATTCTTAAGAAGCCTCAAACAAACAGTAACAATGAATTTCAATTTTATTTTAGCAAAAGCACCTGGAAATTGAAAGAACTACTAAATGGTTGAAAATGCTAAAAGGATGGGAAAAATACAAGAACACTGAAAAGGTAATTAAAAATGTTCCTTCCTTATGAAACTATACAAATTTAATGTAGATTTTCCCACTTGAAGCTCCTCTTTAATTATAAGAGTATTACATTCATATTCTTTTTTTAAAAAAGTAAGTTTAATTTAATTTAGTGGAATGCCTCAAATATGGAGTCTTTTTGTTGTAACAGAATACCCAGTTCAAATTGGACGTATGGGACAGTCCAGAGGGAGATTGGTTCCAGGAGTGATTGAGTTCGGCATTGGTTAGGCTGCCTGTGATGTGGTTTCTTCCCATCCGTCTTCTCTGCAGTGCTGTCAGCCTTATGTTGGGGTCGGCTTCCCTTTAGGGTCAGAATTGCTGCATTTATTCCAGGCTTCACATCCACCTGTCACATCACCCAGGAGGAGCAAGGGGCTGACGTCGGAAAGCTTTCTCTGCAGCAGGAGCCACTCTCCTTGTCCTAGTGTTTGACCTCATGGCCTGTGCTTTGAGAAGCTTCTGGCTGACCTCCCCTGAAGTCTTTCCTGTGTCGAGTTTGTGCTGTTTTAAATATTAGTATGAATGCCAGTCTTGTCAGTCTTTAAATATTGTCAAGTTTCTAGGGGTACAGGCTTTCCAAAATTCTAACTTCTGCTTGAAAGGGAAAATGTAAACAGTGGCAACAAATAAGTCAGTTATTTCCCTTAAAGCGACAGTCTTACTTCGTTTATTTTTGAGAAAATGTCTCCCAAATACCGAAGTCTCAGCAACCGTAGTTGGTTGGTCTGTCTTCCTTTCCAGTAACAGCAGTGCGCCGCGGAAAACGGGCTCGGCTCAGATGATGATGCAGACGGCCGCGTAAATGCTCTTTCCTGAGGCCAGCCCTGTCCTTCTGTGTGTGGTACAGTGCCGTGTGTGCATCCCGTCTCGTCACCCAGACTGTTAGCAAGATGTGTGCAGGATCAAGGGTGGAGACACTTGGGCTTTCTTAAGTGCACCGACTTCTTTTGTAAACTATGAGCAGAGAGAACTGTGGCTTCGTCCGTGTCCTGGCGCCAGGAGCTTCACCACCATTGCTTTCCTGCTCTTGGTGCAAAAGTCAAGGCGGTGAAAAAGGCAAATGACATTTTAATATCATTAGGAAAATAGTGTTTGACCTCATGGCCTGTGCTTTGAGAGCTGCTGACATCTAAGCCTTGGTTTCCTCATCAGTAAAACGGAAAAGATAAAACCCTTTTCCGAGAGATGAAAATTTAATGATTTCATGCAGGTAAGGCACTTGGCACTGCACTTTGCATATAGGAAGCACTGAATAATGTTAACCACCACTGTTAGTTTTTTGAGGGAAGGTTGGACAATAAAAAAAGTTGAAAGGAAAAAAGAAATCTTCCATAATCCTATAGCAAAACACAATTGGGTGTAACTCTTAGAATTTTTGGTCTGTTTCCTCACACTTGCTTTCTGCGCAATTGTTTTCCTTTTTACATAGATACAAATTGTTATAAATCAGCATTTACCAAGAATTCCAGGCAGCATCAGTTCTTTGGGGTCTAACAGGTGTTACATAGAAGCAGTATTGCCTGATGGACCATCCTAGCTTTGGACCCCGAGTCTGCCACGTTACAAGCAGTGTGACCTGGGGGAAGGTATTTAACCTCTTCCTACCTTAGTTTACTTATCTCTTAATACCTCCCTCAAAGAGTTGTTTTGAGGATTAAATAAGCTAATTCATGTAAAGCACAAAGAATAGTGCCTGTACTTAATATGCAGTCGGTAACTTATATTATTACATGAGAAATAAAGTTGGGAAGAATTAAAGCTAAACAGAGGTCAGCAAGGTTTCTTTACTCCAGGTCTCTGCAGTTTCTTTAATATTACAATGTGGTAGACATTTTTGAGGGACCTTAAATTGTGTGACACTGTTCAACCATGAAAATCTGTTCGTCACGGGGAATCTCACAGGACTAATGTCACTTGTCTTTTTGAGCATCCTAAATATCCGTATTTAAAGTCTGTTAGACTCCTGCTGTTTTATTTTCATCAGGAGTGAGCTCCTCTCGGGCTGCTGACTGCATTAAGGTGTTTCAGGAAGCACCTCAGGGTGGGATGTTGGTCACGACACCCGTGCTCTCGCTCAGCTCGTGCTCCTCTCGGCTGCCCTGAGCTGACAGCTGCTCCACCTGCCGTCTCTATGGAAAGATCGCTCATGTGCTAATTACAGGATGCATTTCGATGCATTGCATCTGTGCTTTAATCTCAGCTTCAGTCTAATGAAGTACTTGTAGAATTACATGGCTTTCTGTCCTCTGGTGTACGTGTGTCTGTGAAAGTATATAAGCCCCTGTGAAAATGAGCAGTTCCCCTTATTCTCCTGACAGCAACTCTGGCTAATGTACTTCCCGGTAAGAGAGATTTTAATAAAGCTCTTTCTTTGGGGTATAATTTTAAAGCACTTTCCCACAACTATAATGCTAGAATTATTTGATGATATACATATGGTCAAGTCTGGTATGAAACAGAATGCACCTTCTAAAAGGATTACTGCTTTCAGTTCAGACCCAACTTTAAATTGCATTGAAGTAAAAAATAGTATGTATTTTTCTTCTCTTCCAAGGGGAGATTAAAGTTTTCTCCCAACAGACTCTGTACTTCTGTGGTAGGAGTACAAAGAAATATCTTAAAATATCTTGAAGTTAAAATATAGCTCTGATAGAGAATATCTGGGTTTTTAGAATACAAACTTCAATGAAAAAAATTGCCATTAAGATTGATTGCCTGTGTGTTTTCACAGTGACTGCCCTCTATGTACGCCATACTGTATTTTTAAAATATAATCAGTCTATTAAATGGAGAGATGAAGTTCTGTCTGCTAAGTGGAGGCTGTTCTGATTTAACTAGTCATGATATAATTGTGTCTAAGTTCTGTCACTACAGATACACATATTTTTTTCTTGAGGCAAATAACTGAACGGACCTTTGTTGGTCAGATAACTAATAGACTTGTATTAGCCAACATTTGATTTTACTGACGTGAAAATGGAGGCACAACCTTTAAAAATCAGTTTCTCAAGGTGTTTATTAGTGACCATCAAGGGATCCTATGTCCAGATGTCAGGGCTTGTTTATTGCACCGTCTTTCTGCTAGCTGCCCCCTTTGATGTCTGTCAGTAAAAGGTCAGAAGGGAATAGAATGCGGTCCTAAGAGACAGAGGGCCTTGTGGATGGTTTAAGACTTTTTCAGATCCAAACTCAGGAGACTCTTGTCTATTTGGAGGCAGAGACGTAGGGACCAGTGGAGCAGGGGTGATTGAAGGACACAGAGAGGCCAGGAAGAGCCCAAGCATCTCAGAGAGGGAGCTTTTGTTTCGTGGCGAATGCTTGCTGTTATGAAAGTCCCACAAAACTGAGCCAAACTTGCCAGGCTGACAGGTCTACTCACTGGCACCATGATCATGGACACTGGCACATTTATTCATGTTTTGAAATCACTGAGGTTGGGAAGATGTGTTGAAAACATTAGGTCAGTTGGTGGAATTTTTTTTTTTTAGTTGATGAATTTTAAAAATATACCTGTGTGACTGAAATAGATTGGTTTTATTGGCACGTGAAGAGATCCTGGAAACAAAGGAAGATTTCAGGCCACCTTATTTATTTAAAGACTTTATATATCATATCTATAAAACAAAATTGTAGCAGAATTTTAAAGGTAGTACTTTTCAAGTTGGAATATTAAAATGTTAAAATCCAACATATAGAAGTTCTATATCATGGTTGTTCAGACTAGGATCTATAAAGTCAGATTACCTGTATTTCAGTTCTTCTTCCTCAGTTTACCATTTGTGTGACCAGCTAGTTACTTAACCTTTTCTATGTCTTAATTTTCTCATCTGTAAAATGGGCATGATAATCATAGTACCTGCCTCTTTAGGAGTGTAAAAATATTAGGAGAAATAAATTGATCTAGAAATTAGTATCTCAGCTCCTAATAAATCATTATTATCCTCACTGTCACCTCCACCCTCACCCCCACCCTCATTTCTCCTTTCTTGCAAATTCTTGCATATCCTTAATATTGAGTTTATTGTCATCTTCTCTATAGGATATCTTTCCTAACTCTCATGCAGAATTAATCCCTCCTTCCTCCAGTATCTCTAACGTAGTCTCAGGATGAGACCCACTGTGCTGCACCAATAACGAAGTGACAGCCACAGCAGATTCACTGCCCTTGTCTCCAGCACCTTTACCCTAAATGTCTTCTGGTTTCCCCTTAGAATCTCACATGTCCTCCTCCATTAGGGCCAACTGCCCCCTGAAATCACCCCGCAGACCTAGATAGAGCAGTGCCCGCTGGCCCCCCTTTCCCACTCGGGCTCCCTGCCGGGATGTGATGCTCAGCTGTGATAGCAGTAGTCTGTGTGACTGGATTATGAAGGTGGTACGTCCATAACTAGGTGATTATGTGATTCTCTGTCCCACTACATTGTGAACGCCACAGGACTTTTTCAAGTTTGTAGCCATAGTACCTATCAAGTGTTGGCCACAAAGCAGAAAGTCATTACAAAGTTTCTTTTTAGAATGAATGAGTGAATTTTGTTTATTTACTAGTTGGGATGACCAGCTATGACCTTTTACCTGATACATTCTACTATTTTAATAAAGTTATAATCTCTAAGAGGCAGTGTGATTTGGCAGAAATACCCTGAAGTAGGACTAGGAAGATGGAATTCTTGGCCTAGACAAGCCATTTCTCTGTTCTTTGAATTCCTTCCAGTTAAAATGGAATTATAATTTAAAATTCTTATTTTAGGATCTCATAGTTTCATTCTTTTTCTGCTGTTATTTTCTGTACATGTTTCATTTCATTACCTCCCATAGCTTGAATTCCAGATACATACCTTTTTATTTGCCTTTTAGGTTTTGAATACAGTTTTTATTATCATTATTTTAATGCTTTCTGCTCTTTGATATCCTTAATATTTTCCATTTCACATATTTTATTTTACTGAGTCCAATTGAGCAGAACAGTGGATACTACATACACCCTACTGTTAGAAAGATGATCTTTGTTTTTTATAACATAAAATCAGTATCTTCTACTAACTGATAACTTGTATGTACTTTTGAGCAAGTTATTTAATCTTTTTGTGATTCATTTTCAAATTCAACATCGGTAAAATTGGGATAGTAATATTTCATGAAATTGTTAACATGATTAGATGAGACAATATATAAAAATAGTTTTAGAATTTCCTGCACATAGTAAAATCTCAGGA